TTTTCTTCACTGTGAAGTTGTTTCTTCCTGCCCCTGGTGGCGTATCCTTGCCTTGTCTCTTGCTTTTCCCACACACACAGTTACAGTAGGCACTCTGTTTCACTGGAATTGGTGGCCTGTATTTCTGAACAGCAGGTTGATCAGAAGCAACTAAGTTCGAAGCAACCGATTCAAAGTTCAAGGAGATGTTGGTTTGTTCAGTTGTTTTCTCCTTGTTCTCATCCTCTGCTACTTTACCTGTACATGAAGTAGATGTGCTAGAAACAGGAACATCAGTATTTTCAAACAAATAATCAAATATGTCAAAAAAATTTAATTCAACATGATCCGATGCAAAAGCATCAAAGGCATCACAAGATGTATCATCAACTTTAACATCAGAAACAGAAGGTTGTTCATTGGAAACAGAAACATCAGGTTCTTTAACTTTGTGCTTTGACTGATCTAAGGATTGATCTGAAGGGGAAGTAGAAGCGTCAGTACTTTCAACATTTATAAACCCTCCTGTGACGAAACCAGATGGTTTTCCATAAACCATAAATGGTTCACTGGCAATCTCATCGTTAGACAAGGGTTTATACTGATATGTGTGATTATAAGGAGGAGGCACACTATCGTATCCCAAACCCTTTTGTTGGTTTCGTTTAAAATCCATGCAATGATCGATCATGTTGGCAACTACCTCGCTTGATCCATCAAATTTTCTAAATTTAAAATCTGCATTTTCAAATTGACCTTTTAATGAATCAAGCTCGGTAATTAGCACATCATTTTGCCTTTTAATGTAATTATACAGTTCACATTTTTCACTGTATTCTGTTTGAATTCTTCTAAAATCCTTTATTTTGGTTTCTAATTCAGCCATCAGGGGTTTCTGTCCTTTCCTGAGTTGATATCCTTCATATCTCAGGTCCTCAACTTCTCTTTTTTAATAAATCAATTTGTTCCCGAAGAAATTTAATCGTAGTTTCACAAGATGGAGTACATGAAACTTTAGTGATTGGAACGTTTGAAGAACTCAATTTTTTTTTTAAAAAAAATGCCCTTTAACTAAAAACTCAAAAGTCAACCTAAAAAGTCAAATTTAAAAAGTTAAACTGAAAAGTCAAACTTAAAAGTCAAACTTAAAAGTCAAACCGAAAAGCTAAATTTGAAAATTTAAAAGTCAAACAAGAAGGTCAAAGTTTAAAGTCAAAGGTCAAACTTTAAAGTCAAAGTCAAAACTTTAAGTAAAAAGTCAAAATTTAAAAACTAAAATTTTTGGTTGAAAATGGATTTTAAAAATAAAATTTTTGAATTTTTGGGTTAAAAATGACAAATTGCGAAATATGGAAGCGACTGGGAGAGGTTAAGTTCAAAAATTCGAAGTTAAGTCACAAGGATTGGCTTGCTGAGTTGGTTAAGCGCGCTGACTTGTGAACTAGAGGTCCCGGGTTCGATCCCTGGGAACCTCAAATCGCGTGGATTTTTTAAAGCGACGCACTGATGCGAGGCTGCTGCGATGCGAGGATGAAGCGAGGCCGAGGATCCGAGGCGCGAAGGCGAGTCCTCGGACCGTAAACCCCGGACCGTAAGCTCCGAAACCCTATCCGTAAACGCCGCCGCCGACCGTAAACACTTCGGAAGTCGCTGTTCTTGACGAAAAACAGCGTTTTTGCCCCTTTTTGCTCCAAAACTCGATCAAAAACTCGTTTTTAGGAAAAACGCGAAGAAGAAACCCCCCTTATTTTGCCACGATCTATCCAAAAACGCAAGAATCCTTCAAAAATAAGATCAAATAAGCTCCAGATCTGACAAAAATGAGTGATACAATCCAAGCTCTGATACCAATTGTAAGTCCCTAATTTGCCTGTGTATCAATCAGATCCGTTTGATGGTGCGGAATCTCAATCAAACGGATGATGTCAGATCAAATAGAAGAGAAGGAGAAGAAGAAGATGATGAATCTTGTTTGAATTGATTAGAATGAAGTTTCCTTACAAGATTCACACACTAACACACACTCCCTTCTCTGTATTCCGTACACTCTCTACTATTCATCAATCTATTCCTCACACCCCTCACCCCTATATATACTCGATTGGGCCGCAAACTGGGTTTACGGCCGTAAACGGAGTTTACGGTCGTAAACACCCATTGGGCCGTAAACAGGGTTTACGGTCGTAAACCTGTTTACGGCCGTAAACACTACCTGGCCGTAAACCTGACCGTAAACACATATAATATTACAGAAAATTACAATCAACTAGAAAAGCAAAGTATAAACCATATTTTTGACCCAACAAAACTTGAGGGTTTTTATTACATTAACCCTTATATAAATATTACATTTATATAAACATAAAATGGTTTTCAAACTTTTAAATACTATTTGAGTACACAGAGTGGATTTCATAGAACGATAGTATTACAGATTCTTACAAAAGTTGACAAAGGTTTTCATTACCGTAAAACAAACAGTAAACTATAATAGGTATAGTTTAGAGAACTTATTCATTAGTTTCAAGGTTCAGAATACATAACAGAAAAGAAACAAAGTACATAACGGAAAACGAGTAGAGAACATTTTTCAGAAAGCAAACAGAATATTTTACTGATAACAAACATATAAATCATAGTATATGAAACTTACTTACAGTGTATTTCTTTCAAAGTAACTTTTCATTATTTCACACGTAATCATCAATATAGCATTTGTGAGACAATCTTCACGTACTTTTCCAAGTACCAACCAAGTCCTGAAATTATAACCAGAATCTTCTCGAGGGAGAGCGTGACACTTGTGTATAGATCTATACGGGATTGACAATCCCGCACCAAAGCTGCTTGCAACAGCTAGGTCGGCAGACCTGTAGTGACAAATGTTGTAGCTTTTGCGACGCCTGAAGAACGTCGTGTTCAGGCCATCCTAGGTCATCTAGTATGGTTATAATAACTCACAATTTGGTATTGAATAAAATGATTAGTGTATGAATAAGGAAACAACTTCACATAGTTTTATTAAAATTAAACTATAATACAATGTTTTACAAGTATAGGTACAGAATACTATTTCGGTACAGAGAAAACATACTTTTCATGATTTCTAGTGAACTAAATCACAATTTACCACATTAGAGTACAGTAACTTTCACACATTTTACTTACTTTATACTACAACAGAAAATATAGGATTTTCTGGGAAAACATGATTACTTTATCAAAGGACAAGAAAAAATATTTCAGTTATAAACATATTTATGAACTCACCAACTTAATTGTTGACACATTTTCAAAACTACTTGTATTCTCAGGGAAACAGTAATACAGGTACAACCACAGCTTTTAAGAAGACGGAGGTCTATAAACTCATGTCTTTAAAACTTGTACTTTTTGTGACATATACATTATGTTTTGAACACAGATGTAAAACTTATAACTTTGTAAATACAATGGTTGTTGTTGTACTTTGATTACTATTATGCATTGTTGTGATACTGTACATGACGTCCTTCACCCATGAACATTTCCATCATTCCGGTTTGGGGGTGTGACATGAAGGCTCCAACCGAAAAAAAAACAAAAAACAAAATCAGTGCAAAAACTTTAGCAATCACAAACTAAGAAGAAAACAAGCACCAAGAAGCATACCTCCTAGTTGCACCGGTGAAGGGAGGAACCGGAGGAGAGGTGTGGTCATCGACGGAGCGAGAGAGAAACATAATTGTACACGATCTGCAAAATGAACGCAGCCGATGTTTTGTTAGGGCTAAACCCTATGCCAATGATATGTTGTCGGTATAGAGAAAGTAAAACTACGTCGTTTCGTGTTTTCGTAAATAAAAAAGTTAATTAAAAAAGGGTTGTACCAACGACATCTCGTCGGGACAGATATTTCACGCAGATTGTCGCATCATATGCCGACTACACGTCGTCGGGATAGCCTTAGGAAAACGACAACGTTTTTTCTTTCTGCAACACGGAATATAAATAAATCAAAATTATTTTTTTAATAACCTATACCGACGACATCTCGTTGACATAGTTTTTCAGAAACCACGAAACTTTTATTCATTCCCGCCGAATCTATGGCGACAACGTGTCGTCGGTTTAACTTTTCTAGTCAAACAAATATGGTCAAAGTTGTAGAACTTTATGTCGACGACATGTTGTCGGCATAGCTCTACTTTAGCGACGACATTTATCGTCGGCATATGTCTTGTCGGCATAGATTTAAATTGTTGTAGTGTTTGTAGCATTTTCGTTAATTTACCTTGTTATTGATATCATAATATTTTTAAAGAATATGAAGTATTTCATCTGTACACATAGTTTTCATGGAAGATGTTATTTCGATGTTTTATCTGTTTTAATAATAATAATAATTGAGCAGCTAAAAATTAAAATATAGTTTATGACGGAGACAGATACGCTTTTTTTATTGCATCTCGCGATCATCCTACACGACCACTTGCATACTTCAAAATACGAGTCAACATTTACTTTTTCGTAGTGGAAAATATGTTGCATGTTAAATAATAATAATAATAATAATAATAATAATAATAAAATATGTGATGTCAAAAGGGCATTTGATTGATCATATATAAGCTTATGTAAATTATGAGAGTATCACTTACATATATCATGTATAACATTATAAAGATAACATCTTGCACTTAAATGATTTTTTTTTTAATTTTCGATATAACAGTCTCAATTGTTTTGTTTTGCTTAATATCTACGGGTTAAAGTTTAAACACGGATTGATTACATCATATGTTCATCTTGAATTGGAATTAGATACGTCTATATCTTATTAGATAAATAATTAAATATTATGTTCATATAACTGTTAATAAAACATATATTATGAAATTTTGTTTGAAGCACTAGAGACATGTTAATTAACTATAAAGTCGAATATGATATCAAAAGAAAATGCAAAATTGTCGGATAGATTCTACTTTTGTTGGATTCCAGCAGTTTCCAACATCTTAAAAAGCAAAACCATACCCTGAATGCATTGCAACATTGTACAGTACAATTACTTTATCTCACCACTGATCTCTATAAATACCTATCTCTATACCATACTCAACTTAACCAAACATATAACTTTACTACCGAATAACAAAATGAGTTCTCTGACACGTGTTTGGATGGCCGCCGGCGTCGCCCTTGTCAACGGACACACCGATCAGGGCTGCAAACTGAAATCGCTAATCAAGTCTATCCGCCACAGCAAGAAGGCCTTCACTTCCTCCACGGGCGCTGAACACTCCGATCTCCGCCCATTTTCCAGCTTACTTGGAGCCAAAGTCGACGTCGGGAACAAGAAGACGAACTCCGATGATTCCCTCCGGCAAGTCATGTACTTGAGCTGCTGGGGACCTAGCTAAGATTACTTCTTTCTGTTTCGTAAATGTAAAGATTCAGAACCGCATTTTATAAGTTGTGGATTTTCTTGGTTCTTAATTATGACCAACGAAGCAATTATCAATTAAAACTATTTATTACCTCTCCCTATTATCATCGTTTCAAATTTTCATTAAACGAATACTTGAACATCCATATTATATATGATAGACATGTTATAACCATCTTGACAAGGTGCAGCATCACGTGTCTCCTTCATATATACACATACGATACACAAACATTAAACATACATCATACACATATCCATTAATAAGGGATGGAACATAGGTGAGACTAAAAAAAATCAAAACCATATAGATAAGTTTAATTGAATTCGAAATTTTGACATATCAAAAAACAACTAGATTAGTAAGTTTAATTGGATTCGAAATTATAATATATCAACTAAACAAGACAGCTTTATGCTCTATTATAATGATTGCAATTAGATCGATTTACTACAGTAATCATATCTTTGATTTTGTATATATCAAATTGTCTACTTGGGTCATTAATTAGCTATTTCATTAATTAAGATTTTCAATACAACATGAAGTCGATCGAGCTTGAAAGTTGTATATATTTCATAGTCGCAGACTAAACAAAGTAACTTTGAATAATTACCTAAAGGGGAGTTGGTTTCCATTGATCACACTAATAAATATAACAATGGTATGGGCCAAGCTATACAAAACTAATCCATGGCCTAAATATTACATAAAAATAATTAATATTCCCCACGGTATAAAAGTGGGATAAAGACTAAACATTCAAACTAGATCGCAAATCAGTAAATAATCGTGAGGGAATGCCTTTCGTAAATATGTTAGCATATTGTGATGAAGACGAAACATGAATCACTCAAATGTCAGTAGTAGCAACTTTGCCACAAACAAGTGAATATAAATCTCAATATGTTTCGTTTTCTGAAGCTAAGAACAACAGAAATTAAAGGTGACTTTAGACGAAGAAAGAAGCTCACAGAACAGGTGACTTTAGAACTGTCTTAACGTGCTTCTTTTTTCAGTGGTGGCTTGCGGGCTGAGCCTTCCCCAAGCTTGGTTGACCCAACCCTTTTGTGCGCCTCTACATTCCGTTAATCGTGCACAAGTAACACCATACCAAATTTCACATCTTGTAAAATTGTCATTTTTTATAAATTTATTGAACTCGCGTGATGTAGTTTGATACCAATCTATAACTATATATACACAAAAGTACTTGTCTAACTAAGGAAACAAATTTTTTTTAAAGAACCTAATCTAAAACAAAAATATACTAATGTTAGTAACTGAATTAGTTTTACTTTTTTTCATGTTCGTATATGTCCATGTAAAATTTAAAAGAAAAAAAGAAAGAAAAGAAAAGGATGTTGTTTTCTCTCTTTTATTTTAGTCTAAGTTTTCTTCGGATAGTTACAAAAGTCTTTGTCAAGCATTAACCATGTTAGATATTGGATAAGCTATGTGAGGTGCTAGATAATTACAAGTTATATCACCAGAAATAAAATTATAATCAAGTCTTTGTCAATTTTTGTTGTTAAAACAAAAAAACAAATATATCACTGTACTTTCACAAAAAAAGACAATGCAATTTCTAATCCATTTCACAATCGACTTCAGCACTTCACTATCATCTTACCCACCCCAAGTGCGTAGAACGAGTCAAGTTTACTTTTTCAGTATTGACTACCATTTCCAACTTTTTTCTAATTTAGGTAATTTCTTTGACCAACGTATTAGATGAGATATAAGTTGTATGGGTACGAATTCAATTATCCATATACAAATACATATCATAATCTGTGTTTCAAGCATTACGCATTGCTTGATATATACTTAAAAAAATTATGTATTTGAATGTAACTAGTTTTGTTTAATACATTCTACAACGTCGGGTGTGAGAATTTAATATGGGGATTGAAGAAATTGTGTTTAGACTTTAGATAGTTCTATGATGAGATCAAAATTATGAGTTAGTTGATCTAACATCAAGAAGTTATATTACTTTCTTGCTAAAAAGAAGTTATTTAACAAACTAAAGTAATTTCGAAGAATAAACGATTATTTTGAGATAAATCTGTAAAAACGATTATTTTGAGATAACACGTAGTTTAACTGGTTTTGTTTTTTTTTTATATATATAATTAACCGATTTTGAAGTACATATTATCAGGCATGAAAAACATTTAGGGACATAGTTTTTAAATGATGTTTGTTTTCATCCAAATTAATGAAGGCAATAAAAAGAGGTTGAAGAAGGCCTAGCTATCAATGAGTTTGATATGCAATCAATAATAATATCGTTGATCGAAACAACACACTAGCGGGCACTCACAAGTCATACCATACCTAACTTACCAAATATAACTTTTTGTTCTGTTTCTTTTAAAAAAGTATTGTCTAGTTTAGTTTTTATAAATTAAAAAATAAAATATGTATAATTCCGTCTTAAAGGAACTTTTTAACAAGGCTAAAAGAAAGTGGTCCAAAAAAATACCACGAGTGGTGTTATTTTTACCATAGCAAAATAGTTGCAAGGAAGAAGATAAGGAATGTTGTCATCTTTACAAACATATTGGGCTCTTTTTTTTACTCTTTCCACGGTGATGGAACGGTGTTCTTGTGGCATTCTAATACAAAATATAAAAGAGTGGACACTTTTAGGTATCTTAAATAAATGTTCATAATTGTGATTTTGTCAAAGATGACCAAATGAAACGCCCGATTATTAATAAATGACTAAAAAGTGACCTCTTCCAATATTGAACAACGAAATTGCAGAAAGACTTCTGCAGACCCGCCTTTCATATGCCGAACTCATGCCAACGGTCGAATAATAAGGATTTTTTCGTAATTTTACTTGAGTCTGTAGTAGCTTTTTACCGTGTTGTCACTTACTCATGCTCCCTTGTTGTCGTTTGATAGTTGTTGAGTGTGTTAGTGCGGATTGAGTTAGTAATGACTGAGTTAAACTTATATCTGACTGAAACCATGATGTTTGATTATGTTTCTGACTACCTGTGATGAATAATAAAAATAATTATTTTACCATTGTGTTCTATATTGTTGTGTTGGATATAATATATTTGTTTGAAAAATTATATGAATATGTTGAAAATAATAATAAAGTCAATCTCATATTTATTGGTTAAAGTGTTAAGTTATTTTTGATAAAGGGTATATTGTGTTCAAAATATATTTACTTGGGTTAAAGTGAAAGTGCAGGGAAGAACACGCGGGTCAAAGTCTTGGATCGGGTCTCTTCGGGTTAGCTCCGTATTCGAATGACTGACATATAAAAGAAGAGAGAGAGTGAAGACAGATGATATCTCTCATCTTCCAGTTCATACGATTAGGGTTTTCTCTCTCGTTTTACTCTTAATTCTTGAGTGTATTTTGACAATCTGTAATGTCTTTGCATCTTGTTTCATTCTAGATGAGTTGTGTATTCATTCGTGTATGTAACATCAGTTGAACTGATTAGAATAGGTTGAGAGTGATAAGTTGTGAGGGTAGAATAGGATTTGTGTAGTAAGGTTTCAGTTGTAAGTACATGAAAACCTTCTGTTTCTTAATCCTCTAATGATATAAGAAATGAAGATGTTGGGAAATTTATCTTGTCTGATTTCAACATGGTATCAGAGCAGTAAGGCTCGTTGTTCTTGATCCTGACGCTTTAGTTGTGTTTGTTCGTCGTTTGGTGTTCATCGTTCAACAATCTACGAAAGGTTTGTCTTCTTGCTTGCTTAAGTTCGTTTTCGATTGAATCTGAGTAGATTTAGGGTTTTGTTTGTTATATACCCTTGATTTGGGGTTGTTATTTGAGATCCTGGTACTGCGAGTGTTTTGGTTCATCTTGCAGGTTGACGTACGTGTTCAGTTCTTGCTGTTGCGGTTTTTGGATTAAAACTCTGGAAGTAATCGATTAATCCCTCTAATTTGAAATAATCCTCTTGGGGTCGGATTTCATCACCGATAAACCCTTGTAGGGAACGGATTCAAGGAGTCGATTTCAAATAAACTCATTTGCCTATTGCACTATGAGGGTTTCTTGTTCCCTTCTTTCTCTTTCTTTAGCGATAGATGTGGGAGATCCTGGTTGTCTTGAGTACACCAGTTATTTGTTTGTGTTCTTAAGATTGTTTCTTGACTTTCTGACTCTGTGTTGATTGTCTTGGGCCCCGACATACTGTGGTGCCCATCTGGACTTTAAGTCAACACTGGTGTATGTTTTTTGTTGTTTTTAGTTTATTTGTTAATTCTTTTTGTGTATCTTCTGTGATTTACTATGACTGGTGACACACCTGAAGGGAGTGGTACTCCTAAAGATAGTCCTATTGATTTTGATGACCCTTTATATGTTCATCCCTCTGATAATGCTATAACATCTATAATAACAATTAAGTTAACTAGTAATGAAAATTATCGATTGTGGCGTAGTGCTATGTCTAGAGGTCTTAAGGCTAGAAATAAATTGGGTTTTGTGGATGGTACTATTACTCTTGAAAACACTGAAAAATCTAAATCTGCTAAGTGGGAACGTGTTAATGTTGTTGTGTGCAATTGGATATTAGGATCAATTTCTGAAACTATATATGCTAGTCATGTTTATTCTGATAAAGTTAAAGATATTTGGGATGAATTGTTTGAGACTTATAATAAGGCTGATGGTTCTTTAATTTTTAATATCCATCAACAAATTAACACCTTAAAACAAAATGGCTCTTCTCTTTCTGATTACTACAATAAACTTGATTCCTTATGGAAAGAGTTTGATGGTTTAACTAGTTTAACTGAATGTGTGTGTGAGGCTGCTACTAAGCTTAGTGATCATTCTAAGTTGATGAAACTAATGCAGTTTTTGAGTGGTCTTGATGATGTATATAATCAAGTTAAAAGTCACATTCTCTTAATGGAACCTTTACCTAATGCCAAAACTGCCTTCTCTATTCTTTCTAGAGAAGAATCTCTTCAAAAGA